GACTCCGAAGAATTAACATTCCTCAGCTGCCAGGCCATCACCAGTTGACTTCTGTGTCTCGGATGTTTAAGTTAATCCACTTTTAACCTAAATGGTGGTAAAAATGGGATTTTCATTGAAACATTTTTTTTCCTGGTAAAAGCAACAATTTAATCAGTTTTATTTACATTTGACTGCACATTCATGACCAGTATCTGGTATTAAGGTTTTGCCAAATGGTCACAGTTTAAGCAACATTTCAAGCTGTTTGTCTTTAAGCTTTGCTGTAGTTAAAGAAAAAAAAACAGGCACAACATTTTATATTCTAGACCAGACCTGTTTTCAAATTGCCACTGGGTTTCTGAATTTTGCAATTACTTCATGAAAGCATGTTTTCATTTACAAATGGGTGGGGCAAAAACGTATGGAGCTGATTTCTTTGAACCGTGTGGCCGTGTGACAGTTTAGAGACTTGCAGCCTTTTTCATCAGACTGGGCTGAAATTGATTTCTGGAGGCCCACAGTGTTTGTCTGACTGACATGTCTGAGAAAGAGTTTTCTTTAGAAAGTCGAGAAGTTTGTAGATGGAGTAAGGCCAGACTGTGCATGCTCAGAATGCAAACTGTCCCGGCAGGAAGACAGACGCAAAGCTGGTTTGTAAGGAAAAAGACAAGAGCCTGAAGACTGAGGTATATATAGCCACATAACAATTACATTTGTTATCTTCAAAAGGAGAACAGGAACCAGCATTATCAGTCTGTATTATTAAATATTTCATATCTGCATTTCTAATCAGTCTACTAAAAAGACCAAAACGAGCCTTTGAGCTTTAGAAATTGGGTTTATAGGTTTTACTGAAATATCTGACTCTGAGATATTTTTAGATTTGAGAGAATAGAGCTTTTTTCTCAAAGATTTAAATCTCATAGCCAAAATAAAATAAAGCTAAATATTTTCCCCAGCTGTTGCACAGTAAAGTCTATTGTCATAAAATTGATATTCATGTCATGGCGTTAGAAAAAATAAAGAATAAAAAGAGGATAAGAACAAAAGCTGAGAACCTTTGTAGGTTCCTGACTGAAAGAGGGAAATTAAGATACAACAATAAATACCCTTGGATAATTCTAATTAAAGACAAAGATATGTCAAAGCAATGCAGGAAGTGATAAACAAGAGCTGAAAGAGCAAACGATGAACAGAAGAAGAAAGGGTTTGAAGTGGAGATGAAGAAAAAGAAGAAAAAAAGAAAAGCCTGCAGGGGTAAAAGAACCAGATTAGCTCCACTGCAGCACAAGAGCAACGTTTCACCGGGACACACGAGTCATTTACGGATCAGTTTCAACAAAAGGCCGACTCGAGCGGCTGTGGTGAGATGAAAACCAGACACAATTAACCTCCGCAGCACCTAGAACCCACAAATTCACTGCAACATCATCGACAAGCTCACCTCTATTAAAAGGCTAATGCAGGTTTGTTTCTGAGGTCCTGCTTGGTTGTGAGGATTACTGAGTTTCATTTCCGTGTGAGTTTACGTTTGAATCTATTTTTAAAGATTTTTTTTAAATCGGAGTAAAAAACAAACAAAAGATTCATTCCAGACCCAAACACTGACGAAACACTTTGGTTCAATCTGTTTGATGATGAAGCTATCAGTATTTGCGGGGCCAATAAAAAGTCTATTACCTGCTGTATCTATCATTATTACATCTCTTTTATGTCCTGTAATAAGATAGTTTGGTGCAAGTGGTTGATATAAACTTCCGTTCATAATCAATCAAAAAGAGAGATGATAAAAGACCAATGATAAACCCCTAATTTTATAACAATATGCCATTTCTCTTAACTGGATGTGCAAAAAACACAAAATGCCTTAGGGATGCATTATGGGATATGGTGGGCCGAGAAGGATCCATTGGACTCGACTCTCAAATCGGGGCAAAAGGACGACGCATTTGTTGGCCGCATCAGAGGAGTCTTCGAATGTGGACAACCTCAGTGACGTACGCGGCCTACAAATTCAGCCTTCGGACGACGCAGCTCCTGAATTTGGACACAACCAAATACAGAATTAGACTTGAACATTTGATTTGCACACAGGTCTTTAAAATACTTGGAAAAATAACTATGGTGGCAAAATCCTGCCAGAACCCTCGCGAGAGAAAACGAGATCTCGCGCGTGCAGCCAGAACTCTCGCGAGAGAAAACGAGATCTCGCGTGCGCAGCCAGAACCCTCGTGAGAAAAAACGAGATCTCGCGCGCGCAGCCAGAACCCTCGCGAAAGAAAACGAGATCTCACTCGCGCAGCCAGAACTCTCGCGAGAGAAAATGAGATCTCGCATGCGCAGCCAGAACCCTCGCGAGAAAAAATGAGATCTCGCGCGTGTGGCCAGAACCCTCGCGAGAGAAAACGAGATCTCGCGCATGCAGCCAGAACTCTCGCGAGAGAAAATGAGATCTCGCATGCGCAGCCAGAACCCTCGCGAGAGAAAACGAGATCTCGCGCACGCAGCCAGAACCCTCGCGAGAGAAAAAGAGATCTCGCGCACGCAGCCAGAACTCTCGCGAGAGAAAACGAGATCTCGCGCGCACAGCCAGAACTCTCGCGAGAGAAAACGAGATCTCACGTGCGCAGCCAGAACTCTCGTGAGAGAAAACGAGATCTCTCGCGCGCAGCCAGAACTCTCGCGAGAGAAAACGAGATCTCGCGCACGCAGCCAGAACCCTCGCGAGAGAAAACGAGATCTTGCGCGCGCAGCCAGAACTCTCGCGAGAGAAAACGAGATCTCGCGCGCGCAGCCAGAACTCTTGCGAGAGAAAACGAGATCTCGCGCACACAGCCAGAACTCTCGCGAGAGAAAACGAGATCTCGCGCACACAGCCAGAACTCTCGCGAGAGAAAACGAGATCTCTCGCGCGCAGCCAGAACTCTCGCGAGAGAAAACGAGATCTCGCGC